TGCACAAAGATATTATTTATTCATTATAGTTTCTACATTTCTAAACTATACAAATATTTTCTTAATTTGAAATTCTGTTTGAGGTTGTGTTTTCACTGAGGGAAGTATTTCTTATACACTACTTATTGGAAAGATAAATTAAATATAATAGATTATGTAACTGAATAATATAATAATAAATTATTAATAATAAGAATCAGTTATACATAATAGAAAAATACAGTAGCAAACTGAACAAGATTTAATGTATATGTTTTCTGTATTTTATAAAGAAGTAATATTATTCGTTATAATTTTAATTTATAAACGTAATCAACAGTTTGTATACAAGTTATAAATGTGCAGGGGAAAAAATGGTAATATTGAACAGCGTGCAATACTACTTACCACTACCGCTTACCACTACTTAAAATAATTATATTTACAAGCACAAAACATGACAATCACACTTTCAGTGTGTCGACGCACTGGACATATTTCATTGCAGTACACGAGAAACAAGATGTTGTATTAACAAGATCAGTGTAATTGAAATAAAATCGTTGAAATAACATCAATATTAATGGACGAAAAACATCAAATAGTTGTCTTAATAATCTGGATATTTAGTTCAATGCTTAACATTAAAATCCATAGCAAATTCAATTGAGTAAATTATTTATGTTTGTGACAGCCCGTGACGTTAACGTTTAATTCAAGCAACTTCATTTTTAAAATTTAACAGCATTTTTTTCGTGTAAGAAAATTCGTTATAATTGTTTCAAGTGATTACATAATAAGGAATATATATTGCTGTTCTTGAGATTTTTACAATATTTTGTGCGTTTGAGCAGTACATTAAAAACCAAGATAAGTTGTTTTCTTTTAACTTATTTTGTATTGCATTTTTATTTTCAAATTTTCAATTTGATCAAACAACTCGAGCAATCTCGGTAGGTTGTCCGGGACCACCATTTTGCCGCTCAGCAAAAAGATGATAACAAAAAATGTTTACTCAAAAAGTTAGAAGAGGAAAAGCTAACCAACCAACACGTATCGATTCTAATATCAACAGGGAACAAAGAAAATTTGGAAGAAAGGAACGACAGAAACTACCTAGCTAAAATGCAAAAAATATTAAAACTGACAAGAAAGGAAAAAAACGAGAGCAGTGACAAAGATTATTAAAAAACACTTTTAAGGGAAATAGTCCGTAGTATTGTAGGATGGCGAATTATAGCAAGGCAGACGATATCGCTATGACAGTATTGTACAAATGCAACTGTTTTTTAAGATGTATTATAAAAACTGATTATGAAGGTACAACTTGATTTGTTTTAAAAAGATTGTTTAATAATGTTGTCTCTCTATAAGTATAGTTTAGTAAATAATGTAAAGATATACTTTTATTTTTGCCTTAAATAACCGCTTTATTACCTTGGTTCACCCTATTTGGTACGTTCAATATCTGTACTTATCCACATGTATATAAGTTGTTTTCTTACACTTTCCAAAATTATAATTTTGATCTTTTCACAACAGATGCTGTTTAGTTGCCGTTTTCTTCATCGATTTACTTTGTATGGGATAAAACAATCGTTTTCCCGTCGACATACGCTGGTCTGCGCGGTTAATCCTGAAATACGTCGAGAAAATGGAGACACACGAACACTTGGTTCCATAGATCCTTTTTAATAGTGACACGCGGAGGAAAAAGTTACCATTGCGTTGAAATCGTCGCACGTAAGCCGCGAAGAAAATGCTAGCAGAACGTCGCCATTTGACTTTAGTATCATTTGTATGCAATCGATACCGAGTACAATCTCTGGTAGAGATAGTCGAACGTACTGGATCGTACCATTTCACACGTTCGTTCGGGAAGCGAATAAAGTGTACTGTAAATGTACTATAATACATTCCAATAAATCGACCTTCCTCTCTTTTCATTTCATATTGCTTTTTTATCTCATATCGTTTTACTTCTATTATTTCGTTCCACCATTGTACATGCTTCCCTTATTCAATAGAACCTAACATTTGATTTACTTTATATCCTCAACATACTGTTGCGTACGTGTAGTTGATTCTATTCTGTACCTTTTAAATGAAATTTATATGTAATAAAAATGTCTTTGTTAAAATTGGTTGTAACAGCATTAAGATATTTTTATTCAGAGCGTGTTTTCTTTTACACACAGCGTACAAAATAAAAAAATATTCTACTCATATCACGCACGTAGATGTACTATACTGCATAAACTTATAGCTTAAGTTTATATAAATGTGCATATCATTTATATACACGCGCATATCTCTCTCTTCTTTCCTTCCTCTCTCCCTCCTCTCTCTTTCTACCCGCACATATGCGAATATTATTTCACATGTGCTTGCATTTCAGTTATTCGATATTTAAATTATTTTTCAGCTATGTTTTATAATATTTTTCTATTTTACAGTCTTCTTTGATAATATAATCGTGTGTGTATATTTAATATCCGCTTATCGTACCTATTAATGCGCTCCTCCAATCTACCTTTTTTTTTGCAATATTACCCTCTTATATCAAGGAATTAAAAGCTTCTAAAAGCTTTCAGAAGCTTATTTGCGCGTATCGTTGTTAATTCCCTAAAGTTTCAAGGTTACTAAATCAATTTATCGATTCGCTTTTAAAATACCTTATTTGGCTGACTGTTTATGGTAATACACACCTTGACATTTTGCTTTTTATGTATTTTATTCGTTGTACAATCCATTAATATTATAATTGAATTAAATCTAATATCTACATATTTATTATCATCAGTACATAAGTTATCTTTTCTATTTTTTCGACTATTTTAAATATATAGGCGTGTCGTATTGTTATTAGCTTGTATACTTGTATTGATAAGTAAACATAATTAATTCTCTAGAGAAAGAGAGATATATCTCTAATATTCTTTCATTAAAAAGTTCACGTAGCAATAAATATGACAATTTTAACAAGAAATGTTTTAATTTTTAATCATGTTGGTTTGGTATTTTAATGTCTTATTGATTTTTTACCATTATTCTTCTTCATATTTGTAATTTTGTTTGTTTGTGAGTTATAGAAATGGGTTATTTTTTTAATTAAATATTAAATTTTCACTTTCTCTATTCAGTTTCAATTGCTGATTCACCTTATTACTTTACCATTTATCTTTTACAACATTTAACGAAGGATTAGCACACCTAAAAGAAAGAATCCGTATTTAATGTTTCATCTAACTTATATATATGTATAACCGGTTACCACGAGCTCTCTTTTATCAGGAACACGTAATATTTTATCTTATATCAAAGAAGTATTTTTTCTTTTCATCTTCGTTACAAGATATGAAAAGACCAAATTTATTGCAAATAACATTCTAAGGCACATCTCTCATCCCTTACTGCACAAATATTAATTAAGATTTAATAATGCTGATAACCCATTTTATATACACTGAACATTACGTTATACGTTAACGAAAATCGATATATCATCTCGCAATTAGTTACACGCTCCGAATTTTATTATTAACGCGAAATATAGATACATAGATTACTTTTTACTGGTCTCTTTTAATAATGTCCCTATATTATTTTGTTTTTCATGTGTTATGTATCATTTTTTAATATTAAAAGTCTATTTTAATATCAATTTCAGATGAAAAAAGAAGTAAAAAGAATTATCTATATTAATTTGAAGATTTTCATATAAAAATTAAGTCTTTTGTAAATACAGTCATATATAATATTCTTCTCTCTAAAATTTTTGGAGTAAAATTTTCACTCGAATTATGGTGTCATTGACCACTTCACTCTATTCGACTGAATATTTACTCCAATACAGTGAATTAATTCTTGTCAGACAAAAAGTGAAGAGTTTCACTCTTATTTTTAAAGTGAAGTCGTTAGCGCTCCAAAACTCACTCTAACTTAAAGTACGGTATTTCGCTATTAGATGAACACTGAACTCGTAAGTACGATCGCGATAGTCTGGAATATAAAGAACCTCGTCAGGGATTGGAACGGTTCGTCCGTGAGGCAGCAGAATAAGCGAAACTGTCATATAAATTCTAGATTTTTAGTACTGTGAATATTAGAATGTAGCCTCTATATGCGATGGTCATAGTGAACAAACAATAGCGAAGCTCTCGTCCATGAATTTTCTACTGCTAACAATAATCGATTAAAGTAAAACATAGCACTCTTTTCAAAGTTGCAGAATCAATTCAAGTAAAGAGTGAATAACGGCACTCTTTCAAAAAGTGAAATTTTACTCCATTCGGACTGGCAGTATTTTTTATTATTTCTTCGAGTGAAATCTCACTCCAAAAGAGTGAGATTCCACTTCAAAAAATGTACAGAGTGTATTTCTATTTTTTTAAAGTAATGAAAAATGCATAATATTAATTGCATAATATTAATATGTGCCCAGTCAAATGTATCTTGCAGCAATCTCTAATTATATGCAACTATATGCAAACAGTAACTCGATATGTCTGTATGATAGTTTTAATAAAGAAAAAAAGATATTTGTATACACTAGTGTATATGTATAGTGCAGGAGTATGTAAAGTCAAGTCACATATGTACATATCATTATGCTAATGCGTAACTAGAACAATTAATTCTCAGTATTATTAATCAATGTCTGTGGTGCGATAAATAGAGTTTACCCTCAGCGAAATCGAATTAATTAACAACATCGAGAGTGTTCTCATTAGTAAAAATGTTATACCGGTATACTCGATTCAATTTCGTAAAAATACGAAAAAACCGTAAGTAAAAAATCTATTGTTCAGATG